ATATCTATACTGAGAGCTAGGGAGATTTTCAAAGATACATAAGCACAAAGAGCTTTCACTGGAGAGAGCACTAATAGCAATGAAAACAGGCAATGGAAAAAAGATAATACTTCAGGTTCACCACTCATATATCAAGTAAGATGCAAGTCTGTTCAAAATCCTGGACACTTCAATAAAAAAGAATCTCAAATAAAGCATAAAAATGGCAGAATTTGTTATGCCCTATCAGAAGATTGCATTAAATCCATTCTTGTGGAAAAGGCGTGTTCTAACTTAACACCTATCTGACACCACACCAATTTACATGCCTACTGAACTAACTTACTGCATCACCAGTGTAAAAAGAACAATTTTCAAAATATCCTTTTGAAATAGCTTAAAGCTATCTTAACTATCATGAGCTTTTATATTCTAGCAAAATTAAAACAAAAGTACCTAACCTACTCAAAGGGACCCTCCCACCTTAACATTAGATTTGAGTTGAGATAGCCAAAATGGGGTCCCTGGCTCACAATTACCGGTTTCGGCACTCACAACATCGAGAAATGCCGTAAATCGGAAATATTGAATTTCAAAATTGCAGCATTTTGATTCAGAGGGGCTAATGCTTAGGAATACCCCTCTGAATGTGTGACGTCAGCGCAAATATCTAACAATTTTTAAATGTTTGACTAAAACGTTTTGTAGCACGCGGTGGTATATGCTATTTGCGCGCAGCATCTGCCGCAAACGCCGCACTTCTAAAATAAAGTCGCTAGAAACAGCGGAGATCCCAACAAAGTAAACAAAAGTAAAAGTCTAATATCTTGAAAACCGGTGAATATTTTTTGGTGAAATTTGGTAGATATTCGTTTTCGCTCTTTCTGAACCGAGCGACATCACTTTCATGCCAATTCATAAACTTTTTTGAAGGTGGGAGGGTCCCTTTAATATTTTAGTATCGACAGACCACACAATCAACCTGGCAGCATCCTTTAACGGTATTAGTATATATTAGGTCCGAGTGGACAATTGTGACGCTATTGATACAAATATGTAACAGCAAAAAATTTAGGTTTTAGGTTAGGTTAGGTTGTAGGTTTTAGGTTTTAGGTTGGTAGGTTTTAGGTTGTAGGTTTGTAGGTTGTAGGTAAATAGGTAAGGTTAGGTCAGGTTTGATTATGTTTTTTCTTTTATTTCCAAGACATATAAGTATCATTTTTGGATTCAGGATGTCAAATAATGTAAGAATATGAAAACTTTTATCTTTGTACACTACAGTTACTTGGACTCAATGTATACTTTTACCTCATTTTCTACCCAAAATTCTGAAAAATGGAATACCGCTACCTGGAAAGTTGACAAGGATTCACGACAAACATGGCGATATTATGGCAGAAAGATTCAAAACATTACAACCAAGTTAAAGACCAATAACAAACATACAAGTGATATTAAAGAAAACAAATTCAACGATTTTACATAGCTAAAAGCTCGATAAAACACAATTTTAAGCAATAAATGAAAGACTGATAAAAATGCGGCAAAAGCGCAGCACGCAAAGGATACACCATGAGTTTCTGTCCCATATCTTGCACTAGCGTTGCCGCCTGTTGCCTGTAGAACAACTCCTTCCTCATATCTATCCCATCCTTCTTGCTTGGGGTGTTTACAAGCTTTTCTTTCGAGAAAAACCATCGATCTTGGGTAGCCATCACTGCGACACAGATTCGCCGACCACGCTACACAACATGGCGTCGAGAAAACTGCGCGTCGGTTGCCGCCAGTTGACAATGAAATTATTATAAGAAATAGTTTGCTACAGAAATTTACTTTTTCGATAATTTCTTTTAAAGTAACTTCAAACTAAATAATAGCTTAGTAAATGAATCAAAACATCATTTCGAGAGACAATATGAAATAAAAAGAAAACTCATTTAGGCGTAGCATAATTTTGCGTACGTTACCCTTGAAGAAAGCTGCTACTAAATATAAAGTCCTTTTACCATTACATAATCAATAAATGTTATGATATTACAATTTAAAATAATATAAGTTATGACTGGAAATAGATGAGAGAAGAAGTGATGAATCATTGAATCAATGAAAAGAAGATACTTTATTGTGCCCTTCAGTTTTCAGGATCATAAATTTTCCCAGTCAACGGCTTGAACGGCATCTGCCCGTCCTGCTTCACATTTCAACGGCTTCCAACGGGCATGTGGTCTATTGCATAGGCATAATGGCTATCCCAATGGTCGAAAGTGGTTATTTCATAAGCGTCCGGGCACTGGTAGATCCTAGGGGTGATAATATTTGGTGCATTTGCGCTTCCTCATGTCGTACTGCGCTGTGGGTAGCGCTTGGCTGGACGGACGGTCTGTGACAACCTATTGATCTGTGGCTGATCTATTAGAGTGTCCGTCCGAGAGCCGTACGACGGCTGACAGAGCCTGGGGGTCGCGAACTGGTGTGGTAACCGTTACGCCCACCTGGGACGCCCGAGTCGGTACGGCACTTGCGGTGTCGTAACCGGATCGGCGGGAACCAGCAGAACGCTGTTGGACCGGCGGTGAAAGTCGGAACCGAGCACTCGCCCACCAGTGGGGCGTCTGGTCGAGCAGGTCTACCCGCTAAGGCAGCCTGAGCACGAACCAGTGGCAGGGTCCGATCAATGACCGTGGTCCGACCAGGGTGTCAGCGCAATGGCCAGTCAGAGGCGTCTTTAAGGGCGCGGAAGCCCACCTCGGTCGACTGTGGCCGGTGCAACCTAGTCAGGTCGTTTGTGTGAATCTCCGTGTTCTTCCCTCGCCTCAGAGTAGCCGCTCTTCTCCAAATGCCCGAGCCGTTTTCTATGTGTATTTGTCTTGTAGCGAACAGCAGAGTCGAGAAACGAATTGACAATGTCGCCGAAAGCCGCGGTCATATGCTGGCCGTCCCTAGTACTATCAATATGCCCGCAGGCGCGGCGAGAAACAAGCTCAACGTATGAGTCACCGTCCGGCTGCCGGGAGAGCCCCTACCGCGACCTTTGGTCACAGGCATGACGTCACGACAATGGGCTCCTAAACGTACGGGCAGCGGCCGCCTCAGGGGTGCCGCCGTGCGGACGCCGTATCTTCCTTCAGAGAATTCCTCCAACGGGTAACCACTAGCCCTACCAACATCGCTGCCTAGGAGTCGAGCTATGCCTCACGGCTACTCCTCCAGAGCCACCAAATTCCAGTCAAAGTTGTACCCCTGAGACGGGCGGGACATGACTGGGGCACCCGGGTCACACCGGCTGCCATAACCCGCTGGCTGTCTCACTCGGTAGGCCGGTTTTTATTTTGGCCGATCCCTGCGAACAGCCTGCGCAATCACACTTTCACTGTCCACATTAGAGATATAACGTAACGTAACTATTGCGGGGATTTTTACTGTACTCGACAGTTTTTGCCCCTTGACTTAGGCACCAGGTTTTTTCTAGTTAGGACTTTTCCTGGTAAATACATCCCACAACAAACATCACACATTGCAACACCTCACACCATCAGCAGCAAGATTTACAGCAGCAAGTATGAATATTCTACCCCTTTCTGGACACCCTTGCCTTGTTAATCGGACGCCACATGAGCCGAATTAAAGTAAAGTTTGCTTCTCTCTCTTGCTTGGGTCAGAATTAAATAGCTGACAGTAAAGTAAAGTAAAACGAAAGATCTGGCTCATTGCCAGCCTTAGTAATTTCCCCTTCCCTGGCGGTTGCCTTAGGCATGCCGGGAAGACAAAATTTAAAAAAAAAAAAAGACCTTTGCACGATATGTTCTATAGCGTATGGCACAGCGGTTACTAGGAAGGTTGAGGCCAGCGCCAGGCCGGTTTACAAATAACAAACAAACTTGACGCGCAATTGGCAACAGATAACAGATTGATTAATAAAGCGGTGACAATATAAATGAGAATGACAACATGAAATGACAAATCGCATAGATGACGAATCGCATAGATGATCCCTACACTCAAACATCCAAAATTGACGATATTTGGTCATTTTTCAAGAAAAATAATAAAACCAAAAGTGTAGGTGGGCTGTAGGTAGGTACACTCGGGGGCAGATTGATGTTCCACCTCCCCCTTATACCCATCGGGCTCCCATGGCTCAGCAGTGGCTGCTGCCAGTGTTGCCTGCCCTCAGCACTGCTCAGCACTGTCTGCCAGTGCCAGTGCTGCCACTGGCCGCTGCCAGTGTTGAGCCATGGGAGCCTGATGAGTAGGGAGTGGTGGAACATCAATCTGCCCCCGAGTGTACGTAGGTACCTACCTACCAAACCTACCTACCCTATTCATCCATTATTTTTAATTTTACCTATTGAAGAAAAAATTTAAAGTTGGATAGCAAAGTAGGTATACCTACGAAAGTGAGACCCGATTGGTTCTAGAAATTTTGAAAAAAAACTAAAAACTTTTTGGGGGTAGTAACCCACTCATCACGTCCACGCACCCGATCCAATACCGCCTGCCAGTGGATTGGCTAACCTACCATAGGTACCCTCGGCCGGATCCGGTAATGGAAATAAGCCAGCAGTGACCGATACAATCAGGACAAATGATTTCCCCCGATTTCAGAACAAGCGGTGATAAAAATCAGAGATGAGCCTGCACAGTGGGCACTCACTCTCACCATGCGGCTCATGGGGACTAAATTGAACGGCTCTCCCGCGCCATGCCGTCATTTGTATAATGTATATTCATCCACCGTCACAGAGACCGGAAGCCGGGGAGATCGGAGCAACATTGGCTCCGGCAACTGAGGTGAAAAAGGCCCCTCAACGATGGCCAGCTTGATCTCACAAAACATTGAGGACGTAGTAGTCAACTGCATGGAATACGAAGCCGAATTTATATCTTTGTCACCACTCACCTCCAACAGTCAAGGCTTAGGTATATAGGCATAAGATAGCCGAGACGAGTAGTAGGTAATGCCCAACGATGGTGACATCGTCGCTAAATTCAACCGTTATTTGAGAAAAAAATATATTAGCTACATTCATAATATATTACATCGTTCCAACTTCCAAGCCATGTTCAGCATTCAGCAATCGGCTGAAGTCCGAACCGATCGATACGCGGCTTACGCTCTGGGGCCTGTGTGCAACAAACGAGTGGGGGCGTTAGTAGGTAGTAGGTACCTATCCGAACAGATTCAGAGACATGAGCTGACCAAAAGACATAAACGTCACCTACTTATCAAACGTATTCATAACTATATATCTTATCACCCCAGGAAAACATGGTCGACAAAAAAAAATTAGCTCGCATCGCATCACAATAAATCTGCCGTTTGGAACAAGCTGAAAAAAAACTCAACCCGCAAAGCGAGGCTCGACAACTAGCACCCGGCCCGCGATGCCTTCTAACCAAACGTCACCACGGCACGGCACGGCGAGCGATCAGCGAGCATCACAAAATGTGACTTGCTTACCACTTACCCGGACCGACGGGTCTTTACTCCAGCCACTGGGATGGGAGGCCTACAATTGCCAATAGCATTGGATGGGTTAGTAAATAAATTATGTCATTTGACCGATCGGGTAAATCAGCTCTTCGGAACTCCGTCATTCGGACATGATCCGGATCAGGCGAAGATCGGACGATCCGGACTACCAGAAGCTGCCTGCCGACCGTCCGCCCGGAGGGGCGTGCACCTTCACTGCGGTCCTCTTCGGCACCCTGCTGCCCATGATGTCACCTGGGGCACAGTCAGACGCGAATGTCGATTTACGCGTCTCGTCAAAGGAGGTAGGTGGAATAGCGTATCACATCCACAAATTGAACTTGCACTGAATAATAAATAAGCAAAAAAATATAGGTACGCGGCAATATATATCTCACGGCCATAATTCATGGATGCCCAGTATTATCGTATCGTATGCCTAAATTGTCAAACAATTCAGAGAACATATGAAAAATACCATTTTAATGCATTGGTTACAATATAAGTTACCATATTATTCCATATCACCTGAGTCTGCTTGAGACTTATTCAAGTCACGGTATGATTATAAAAGAAAATATAAAAGTATCTACTTGTAAATTAATGCCATATCAATGCATCAAGGCTCGAACGTAATAAATGTTTCCCTTATTTTTCCGCTTTTATTGTACGTACTAGTTACCTACATTTATCGATTAATTGTTGATCATTATTGTTCAAAGCTGCGTTGAACATGGTCGATCTAGCCAGCGCTCACACACGGTACCGCCGTTAGCGACCCTTTCTCATCCGAATCTGGTGTATCTGGTGAACTGAAGTGGTGACGGGCCGTTAGCGACCCTTTCTCACCCGAATCCGGTGTATCCGGTGAGCTGGGCTGATGACCGCCATCACCAGCCGCCGGTGACGGTGGCTGCGGCGGCGCTGTGCCGTCCGTCTCAGTTTCCGGCGAGGGCGGCTCCTTCGGGGCGACCGCGGGCGGAGCGGCAGGACCGCCGTCGGCAGCAGCGGCACTACTGCTGCGGTCCACCGGGCGCGGCACCCTCGCCTTGTCCCGCTGCTGCACGCGCAGGTAGACAGTCGGCGCGAAGCCGGCCATCGGCAAGAAGCGTCCGGCCGCCTGGACAGCCCGCACCTGGCCCTCCTCGACGCAGACGCGGCCGCGCGACACTACCCACTCGGCCACACCGCGCACCGTCTGACCCTCGAACACGCTGAAGTCGCAGCGCTGGTGGTGCGTGCTGGCGGAGATGACGCGGCTCGTCTCGCCGTCCCAGACCACCAGATCGGCGTCCGAACCCACGGCCACCACGCCCTGAGAGAAAGCAACCACCGTTTATTGGACCGTATGCAAAAGAGAGTTGAGCTACATATATTCAATCAAAATGTACCGGGTATTAAAAACAAGTGGAGATAAGCAGGCAATTACCACTGCCACAATACATAAATGATAAAAGCATATTTGAAGACTAAGTTGTTGGTAAATATCTGGTTCATCTACTAAATTCTTGCAAAGTAGAAGTGCACTAATATCGTTCGGTACGCCTACCTTTTTGGGATACAGATTGAACAACTTGGCGGCATTGGTGCTGGTGACCGCCACGAAGCGCATCGGGTCGATTTTGCCCTGGGCAACGCCCTTCTCCCAAACGATAGCCATGCGTTCCTCGACGCCGCCGATACCCTGAGGGATCTTAGTGAAGTCGTCCCGGTCCACGGCACGTTGCTCTGAGGTGAACGTGCAGTGATCACTGGCGCTGCAGTGCAGGTCGTTGCTGGGAAAAGACGACATATTGTGGCTTCGGGATTTAGAATATTTGTTTGTTTTGTTGGGTTAGGCCCTTTCGGTCCAATGAGACCATTTCAGAGCCGGGAGGATGATAGGATATAGGAGGAGACATTGGTCTGGGCAGGCACCCTAGTGAGTCGCCGGGGCTGAGCCCGTCCAGAGGACAGGCCACCCAACCCCAAGGCACTCACTGCACCCGGCTACGGGCCCGGGGTGCGCTCCCTCGGGAGCAGCGGTGCCGCTCCAAGGGAGCAGCCCGCATGAGATAAAGTTGCCTGTCCAGCCCGGAGGGGGGTTGCGGCGTGGAGGAGAAGGATTTCAGTATCCTGAGGATAGAAGCACGGAACGGTGTGATAGAATATTACAAGGCCGTTTGTAAAATATGTAGAAGGATACAACGATAAATAATTCACAAATAAATCGAAGGTGAGCTTGATAATTTTACCACCACGAAGCCTACATTACGTTATGAAGACATTGCCAGCAAATTTAAACGCCGAACTACTTTATATCAATATTAATTCAAATATCAATATCAAATATCAATTCAACATCCCGTGCAGCGTTCCCGACTGACCTGGCCAGGAGGTCGACGAGGCGATCCGGAGTGGACGGCTCGGGTCGCAGCGGCGGCACGACCACATGCGCGGCCGCGTGGCGCCAGCAGCGGTTCCAGTAGTGCGTGCCATCGGTGGCCAGCGCGGCCGCTGTCACTGCGCCGTACACGATATGACCGCGCCGGCGGGCGGCGGACACCTCGTCCACCGCTGCCGGCGAGCTCAGGTGCGGCAGGTGCAGCGGACAGCCCACCTGAGCGGCCAGCATGCAGGCGCGCCGGACCGCCTCGGCCTCGACCGCCTCCGGCCGAGACAGGGCCAGACCCTCTGGGCCAGTGACCCCGGCCGACAACAGACGGCTGGTCATCTGAAGGGCCGCGGGTGAGTTAGACGCAGCCGTAGCTCGCCGGATCATGTGTTTGATTCTGGTCGGCCATATGATAGTTCTTAGAAGTGATAGTAACTGATAAGCGCGTAGAAGGAGAATGATCGCATTGTAGCTACATCGTGACGGCTGAATGCCGTTTGTCATAATTTGGCATATGTATGTATATCTTATCCTGATCCATCAGGCAAGATACGGAACACCATTAATGACCTTGCAGCAGTTAGGGGAAGTTGGGGGAACGCCGAAGACTTTTTTTCAGACGCCCGTAGCACGCAAGGTAGACAGCATAAGCTATTCTTGTTGGCGTCATTCGAGAGGCCAGTCTTTTGTCTTTCAAACATACCAGGCGCATTTGATGAATTCGCATACCGTTAAGCGCACAAACTAAAAATATCAAAGAAGTGACTTTTTCGGCGTTGCCCCGGACTGCGGGGAAAGCCGAAAATGGGAGAAATGATCTACGGGGAATGCCGACATTGATGTTTTGCCATTTTATCTCAAACTTTATCCAGAATTGATCAAAGCTGACACGCGTTTTAAGAGCTTGAGGACGCGGTGCACACTGGAAGTTATAATTGTGTGATATAATAAGAACATGCCAGGTAAATCATTCCTTATAGGTAACAGGCCGTTGTGTCGGTTGAAAGTGTAATTTGTGTGACTAAAAATAAGCGTTGCTATTCTACAGCAGTAAAGTCCACGTTGCGTGCTTTTAACACGTGCGTAATCGCACGTTTTCGGCATTACCCCAGCCTGCCATACTTTCATTTGCAGGCCCATAACTTTTCAACGTGCTGTATAAATTTCAAATAGGCAGCACACTTATGCAAAGACATGCTAAAGATTACTTGACCGAATTGGCCAGACAAACGGTAGCATAATGAGTAAGAAATGCAGCTTCAAAGGCGCATGTAGTACAAGGGAAACGTACCTTGAAAACGCTCTTGGCGCCCTCACAGTCGAAGTATTCCGAATGACGACTCGTAACAAACATGCGATAATTGTAGTCACTTAAGCTTCAGAGCATCACTGACAGGTGGCATCCATGTCTTACGGTTTTCGAAATATCTCGAATTTCGGCTTTGCCCCAATTACTCCGGCATTGCCCCAACTTCCCCTATTGCTGAGACGCTCATGAACCTAGATGACCCCCCCCCCCCCCACCGGAATCACGTTCGGGATGACTTTCCTTTCGGCACAGCGGCACGTCGGTCCTATATTTCAGACACCCGATGTCATCTGAAGTCGGGTTGGGTCGGGTCAGGTTGGAACTATCGACCGAGCGCTAACACCGGCCCACCGACCAAGACATTATCCCACGTGTATGAAGGGCTTCGCTTCCCTGACCAGTGACCGGTCCAGCAGGCAGCAGATTATGGACAGCAGCCGGTTCCAGCCGTTTCGTTTTTTTTTTAATACTCCCTGGGTAGCGATAATGTTTCATTTCATTATGCATTTCACTAGTCAGCAGCACGGTATAAACAAGCACTGCTATTATATAGGCGCAATCATAGCGCAATACATTGTAACTAAAATGCTAAATTCTATACTTTGTGGAAGCTCAAGTGTTGGCAGCTACAGTAGATAGTAAATTGTATATAGTAAATTCCCACCTTCCAGTGTCCTATCTTTTCATGCCATATTCGCAGGTAATTATTCGGACATTGCAGAGTTTGTGCCTATTTTATACTCTACAGCTAGCATAGGCACACGTAATTGAGCACACCGCAACATGAATCCAACTTGCTTTGATTGCCCGCTGTGTGAATTGTAAACTGCCAGCTCTAATGTGTCGCGCGGCACAGTATCTCCTCAGGCGTACACTGCTGCTGACATCTGTCGGCGAGTATGTAAAGTACAGCACAGTGTTGCGGCACAGCATATCTTCAGGCGCTTTTCACTCGCGCCATCTAGGGATAAGGATATAACTAAAGGAAATAGTTCACTTTCACGAATTTTTTTTTCAACGGATTTATGATTTTTTATGTTCAAAATAATCAGCAAAGAAAATAAAACCTTTTTATAACAAAAGATTATTTTCTATATTTTGATATAGGAAGAACTTTTCAGTTTCTGTAAGGCACACGCGATCCAGTATGAAAAGAGCATGGGTCCCGAAAATTCTTCAGAAACAGAGAAATTATCGCAGCCACCGGCATTTGGGCGATCTGCTCGATCTGATAATGTTCCCCTGAATGTCCTAATTGATCAGTACGAGAATTTCTCTAGAGTTCTCGTAGATAATTTCTCTACTTTCTGAAGAATTTTCGGGACCCATGCTCTTTTCATACTGGATGGAAATATATGCAAGGCACACATCCTCAACGCAAGACACCTTTTTCGGGACGAGAAATAGAATATCTTTGCCTAGGGTGATCGCTGGGCTGTAAAAGCACCTGATTTATGCTCGTCTCAGCCCAAGCTACGGAACTGCTATTCCAGTTCAAAACCCATGTTAAAAAGTGAACTATTTTCCAGGGTATATTGAATTAGGGGGTAGGACCAAGTTTAGTAGGCATGATATCAGCAATTATTTTGTTTTATATGGCGGTTTTCATTATCACAATATTATTTTTGATATCATGAAGTTTGTATATCTCGGTTTTACGAAAAATAGTAGGGCAACAAAGATAAAATTCGCGAAAAATTAATTTTAGTTGGAAACATCCATTCTGGTATGCAAAATTCAGTATGAAGCCCAGTATGGTGACCGTCTAGTGTGCTTCCAAGGCTGAGTACCTGATATCAACAGGAGTTGTTAACTATTTTGCCTTACGTTGCTAGGTGGTTGCTAGGGAGCTAAGGATACTCTCTTGCGCGATCATTTGTACTTATTTTTCCTCATTATATCGACATGTTGCTATTTCTGAGACCTAACTCATGGTAAGAAAAAAAAAACAGTTTTCTTAAAATGTATATTTAAGTACCGTAATATTAACACAGCTCTGCAATTCTGCTTAAATATCTGCAAAATCCTGACTTCCCGGAAAATTGTTGGTGGTGATGGGGATCGAGCCCGTCGATGAAAAGTAAGTCAATATTCAAAGGCTTCAAAACGTTATTTCTTGTTGCTCTGTGGAATAGCAATGCAAGACCGATGATAGTGTCAGTGTTGAGCTTTCCAATGAAGCATTGCCATTAGTAGTAAGGTGATTATCATCTAAGATATCTTCCATCAAATATTAGAATTCTGCCATTGGCTTGCTGTAGAACAGGGTTACTTTCAGTCTCTTGGGAACACGATTTCCCGATCTCAGATCGAAAAACACTTCAAAAAGCGGTAATAGACAATGAAATTTCCCACCTGATAGCATCTCGGGTTTTTATATATCCTGGATAGAATTTTCATAAATCCGACGTAAAAATGGCTAATTTCGTCAGATTCCGAATTTTTGCCATTGGGTCTAATGTAAAGCATGGATACTTTCAGTCTCTTGGGAACACGATTTCCGTACCTCAGATTGAAAAACACTTCAAAAGTCGCAGATAGTAGACGATTTAATCTACAAGATAGCATCTCGCTTTTTTCTTTATCTGGTCATGTATCTTCATAAAACCCTCTCAAATATAGTCAATTTAGCATTAAAGTCTATGGATTTAGAAGAATTTTCATATCCGACTAGATTTGGGCTACCATGTCTGTTGACCGGGGGCCGCTATTTTCTTTAAGCTCAATATACCTACATCTCAAGCCGTGCGGTACAGCATGGTTCCAGTGTTTTGTTTCGCGGATCGTTCAGATTTCAAAAGACAGAGATGCAAGAGATAGCAAACGTTTATTTACTCCTGAAGCCACCTCGTTTCATAAAGCAAAATCGATCTGAGGCATGATCATTTGTGCATAAATGTCACTGAAATTTCTTCTTAGAAGTTCATAAATTACCTGACCGGCAGCATGAGTTTAACATATTTCGCGGTCGAGACCTCTCCAGAGTCCAGACCAAGCATTTAGCCCGTCATACGCTTTTCCGCCTGAAGTCTTACAAACTGATGTCCGATATTCGTGACTGATAGGCAATCATTGATGATACAATGCTTCCAACTATTCTGGTTAAGTTTAAATGTTGGAGTGGAATATCAAAAAGCGTACAAATTACCTCTCTGACCTCTCTTACTTACCTCTCTGACAGCGTCTCCATTTTCGGCGTGAATCTGGGCGATGGCGCCGATCTTTTTGCAGTGAGTGAAGACCTTAAGTAGGTCGGCGTCTGACAGCTGGTGGACGTCGGCCATCAACATCTTGAAGGAGTTGACGCCGCGCTCCGAGCAGAGCTGAGACATCTCGGCCGCCGTCTAGATCAGAGAACATCATTTGTTGTACGGTTATAGACAGAGTGGAAAGAAGATAAGGGACACAGCATCAAATGTCAGGCACAGTGAAAAGAAAGGCTAGAATTTCGGTCAGAGCCGATAAACGAACGTGTTTTGTGGGATAAATAATGTTGTCTAATCGACTGCACTCCCGTGTTCGTTAAGCATAAAAGTGGTCACTTCACTCACTTGGCACCCAAGTCGGGCGCGCCGGCGTACCTTATCAGTCCACGAGGTAATCGCCACGTGCAGGCCGTAGTCGCAGCAGACCTTTTCGTCGGCCAGCTCCCTCCACCTGTCGAAGGCTGCCACCAGCGGCTCCCCGGGGCGCGGCGCGGCCAGGTTGAGCACGGTGGTAGTGCCGCCGGCCAGCGCCGCGCGCGTGCCGCTGTAGAAATCGTCGGCAGAGGCGGCGCCGCCCGCTCCAGCCGCGTCGGCCGGCTGCTGCAGGCGCGTCATCGTGTCGATCCCGCCTGGTTAGCAGGGAGGGAATTAGGCCTCCGCTCAGGGCATGTGAGATGCTCAGTGGCCAGCGAGTAGCAAGGCTGATTTTCAGTTTTTCCCCTAAATAATATACGGTCAACGAAATGTTCTCAACGTAGAAACTGCAAATTATCCGTTCTTTGGCAGATTTTTTTTCCGCTACTGGGTACCATATTGGAGGTTTTCCTCTGTGAATGAAGTCATGACGTACTACTGCCATAAGCCCAGTAGGCTGACCGCACACTGTTGCATGTTTCTTCGGAATAGGTAGCCATATTTTTCGTGACTCTTTTCTAATCAAGGAAGCTAATGGCGTACAAATCGTACAGAGGGCAAGAGCACATAACATCATGCCGCTGGTTTCCAGAACACCAAAGCAGAAAGCAACAAAGTAAGCTGACATTTACCACTATTAGCAATGAGGAAAAAACTAAAAGGCTAAAATCTAACTAGCACGTTTGAGATCAAGGGCAGGCTGCTGCAGATCATAAACAATCACCAGCCGCCAGCCGCCGGAAGTACGTAGATAGCAGATATTTCCCCTGGGGTGAGCGTGCAGCTGATATCAGGTTCTGCAGCCGCGCTGCAGGTATACCGTGGGTGAATGACCTTACGCACATCTGGTATCGCAGCGACTCCGTTCTGCTTATGCTTATAAACAGTTCGGTTGATTATTGTCGCCGCTGGAGACGAGCTCAGATTTCCGGGCGAGAATAAACAGGATGTCACACGGGTGGCGCCGATAACAAGGGGTGCGCGGAGAGGCACCGGCATCAACATGAGGGTAGGGGTGAGACGGACATGGTGGCATGGCCGGGAGCAAGGCTGTGAAAACACTAGACGGTTACGAGTAAGCAAATACTTTGTCAGGTGACCTTACTGTCTGTTATAGTGTCTGTTAATTGCATTCGGGCTAAATCACGTGTGCCACTGAAACCATTAAATACCAGTTCTGACCATCACGCTATTGAAATAACTTTGGGAGTCTGGACGTCATTGAAATTCAGTGTCTGCATATTTTTGTGGCGGTACTATTTCGTTATACTAACCATTATTTGCTTGTTTGCTTGTTTGCGATTCATTGGGACGTCGAATTCGCAGCGTTTATCACTATAGACATAAACCACACCTCATATACTATATAAATCAACAATAAGTTACTCGTAAAACAGAACAGTTTCGGATAAATGCTTGCGAACTATTTAAACGTTGCACAAGTTAGAAAATGTCAAGATGGTGAGCTGGTAAGAAGGTAGGCACTAAAATTAGTTCAAAGATTTTCAGGGTGCGGCATCTTATTATACGTACGCACGATTTAGGGAACATCAAACAGGCACAGCGTACGAGTTTCCGGTAAGAAATATTAGCGGTTAAATAAATGTAAAGCGTTTTTACCAAGAAAAGAAATTATTAAACATCGTGAGTGAGAGTTGAAGTGTGTTACCTGGCATTATATATTTGCCGTTGACCTCGATGACACGTGCCCCTCCTGGCGTTATAAGGTTTTGCCCTATTTGCCTGTAAATGAACACGGAACGTTATGTAGAGAAGTAGCGCTAAAGGAACAGCAACACCAAACGATAATCGTCTTTAAATAAAAATGTATCACGTCTATTCGTAAATCTGCCATTACAAACACACACAGCCCAGCTGTCGAAGTTTTCCAGATCGCTATTTCTTATTTTCCATCGGTATTTCCATGGATTGTTTTCAATCATGTACCACATTTTAAATGTATGTCACGCATGATGTTTCGGCATCGAGGGCAGGGAGTCAAAAGTTTTGTTGGCTCTTGCAGCTATTCTAAATGTAAATAACGTGACACCCGCGAGTATTCAGGTGCTGATCCATGTGGTAGGCTATCGCACAAACAGGTACGGACAAACCCGTCGGCATTGTGCGATATCACCCACGGAATCAATGGTAGAGCGATATTGCATCGTATGTACCACGTTGTCTGGCTCGCTCGCTTTGTATCGCGCAAGGGAGGTAAACGGTGGCAGTAGCCGGGCAATTTCCAAACAGTCTAGCTTGTAAAAGTATATGTTATCACATACAGTCTGGAGATTAGAACAGCCGAGTTGCCCGTTTTATAAGTGATCGGGAAATTAACCCGCGCCCGGCTGGGGGTCCTGGATTTCCACGCCCTGCTGGGGGGGGGTGTTTGAACACCCCCCCTTGTAACTCGGCTCCTGGGCCACGTAGCGATACGCGGAAGGCGGCGTTCGAAAGAGCGTAAAAAATAATGACGAAATCATTTCGGTCAATTTTTTGGTCAGGTCAAAGGTCAGGTCACCAGAGGTCATTGAAGGCAAAATTTCGCCGATTTCCAGGTCGAATGTCGAAAATTTCCAAGAACCCAACGCATAACTCGGGAACCAATAGAGTTACAGCGCCGCGGAAAAGCGCATTCGATAGCCCTATTAACGCCCTTTCTGAGTAATTCTCTCAGATTTGACCTAACGTCAACGGTTTTGCCTGCAGGGGGCAAAAACTGCAAAAATAGCCGATTTTTTCTGAAACAGTTTTTCTGCAATAACTTTTGACCCAAGCCTTGTACGAGCTTACTTTTACCGGCATCGTGTTCCTCTCGTCAAGACGCATCGAATGAACTATAACTTGACCTTGAAAGGTCAACTTGAAAATTTGACCTCAGGTCAAGGTCATGACCTGACCGGAAAGGGTCATGTTGCATATCAGTCGATCCGTATCGTCGATCTGAACACATCTAAGGCGTTTTCATCGCTCTAGCATGCCTCTATCAAAAGTTATTTGCGAAAAACTGTTAGATACCATTCGTGACCTAAGATGACCTCAGGGCATAAACAAGGGTCACGGACACCATTTTCATGTTCTGTGTGTCTAAACCACTTGTAATTCGGTGTTTGGGAGTGTTTATAATGTCTTTCCTCCAAAAGAGGCGCATTTCAATTTTCTCCCATTGACTTATAATGGGGAGGTCGCAAAATTGACCTGACCTTAGGTCACCGATATCAAAATTCTGAGATATACATTTTGTACATGCTATTGCTCTTAGCAATCGCTGAAAGTTTCAAAGCGATCGGTCACTCGGTGTAGCTATGACAGACATTGAAACTTTTTATGAGGTGAGGTCACTTCAAGTGACCTGGTGACCTGACCTTGAATGACCTTGGTCTGAAATTTTCACAACATGTGTAGAATTGATGTATGATAAGGTGTACCAAAAACGGCGGCGCTCCGCGCCGCCGTTTTTGAGATATTCGCGAAAAACCACAAGGGGGGTGTTCAAACACCCCCCCCCCCAGCAGGGCGCGGGTTAAGGCACGTAAAGAGTACGGTACTTTATCAACGTCGCGGTTATTTAACGCTGATTGGACTAATGGACTGGACCTACCTGATGACGCCATCCTCGATGTAGATGTCGGCGTCGAAGATGCGGTCCTCGTTGACGACTCGACCGCCTTTGATGAGCAGGCGGTTTTGGGCGCTCTGTTGGCAATGTCAGACGGGACGACATTGGTTGTGCGTCCGGTTGAGAACTGGGAGACGTGTTAAGAACTCGAGATAAATGCCTTGCTTTGTAGGTAACACGGCATTGTTGGACCTGGCTTAGCCGACCAAGTTCGTTCAGAGAACTTGGCGGATTGACAACAATAATTATCAGGTGTGAATGCCAGCGGTGGGGGGGGGGGCTTCTGAGAGGGGGGTGACTGCGGAACCCGCCCACCTAGCTGGCTGGCAGCCCGTTCTGACCAGTCAGCTCAGCTGCGGGCCCTGCAGCTCAATAGGCCTGGCAGGGTCAGGGACGGAGCCGGAGCCCTGCCAGGCGGCTGTTGACATTCGCTGCCAGCGGCCCCCGTCTCCGCCCCTCGCTGCCAGGCATCGCCCCAGAATAGCAGCCGGCCGTACCATGGCCCCGGTACCTCACTATGCGACCAAGTGACCGGCGATCTAATAGAATACAATAGAGTGTAACATACAAGTTTTTGCTGATAAACGTTGCAGCTTCGGATTAACAGAGTGGGACGAAGTGTTCACTGCAATGACCGTGCATGACAAATGGCAAGCTTTTCTGACTAATTTCTTACCCATCCTAGATGACCATGCCCCTTTAAAGAACCTGACCATTAGAAACCCCACCGCTCCCCCCGTCTCAGCCTCCACCCGTGATATCATGGCCCAACGGCGCGCCGCACTACGTCTGTATGGTCGGGAATCTACAGTTTATAAAGACCTGAATCGTTCAGTTCGTTCTGCCGTTCGCCGTGACCGGCGCAACGTGATTCAGCGGGAAATTAGTGAACGCGGCCCCAACAAGGTGTGGCAGGGAATCAAATCAGTCATAGCTGGTAAAAAAGAAAATAAAACAGTTCAACCCGATGTAACCGCTGACGAACTAAACTCATTTTTCGTGTCCGTCGGCCCCCGTATTGCTACCGAGATCCGAAACCAAAACACAGGTACCTATACTTACGCACGGCTCCCACGCGTCGGCGCATGCGGTTTCCAGCCCAGGCCTATCTCACTCGGTGAGCTCGAATGCACGGTTTTCAGTATGCGGAACTCAGCCGCCTGCGGAGCGGACGGTGTGTGCATCCGCATGCTAAAAACCAGTTTCTTGGCTATTGGCAGCGTCATACAGCACATCATAAACACCTGCATCTCGAAATCTGACATCCCCGAGCAATGGAAGCATTCCATAGTCCATCCCATTTTCAAATCCGGAAACCCATCTGACCCCAGCAACTTTCGACCCATTTCTCTAGTACCAGTTATCACGAAAGTTGTTGAACGAGTCATCCAGCAGCAGCTACAACACTATCTCTCTCAAAATCACCTTTTGGCACCTAGTCAGCATGGCTTTCGACCCCAACACTCAACTGAAACAGCACTTTTGTCCGTCACCGACCGCATCCTAGCTGCCACGGACAGGGGAGACATATCTTTCCTATGCCTTATCGATCTCAGCAAATGTTTCGATGTCATAGATCATAAACTCCTTCTCGACAAACTCGCACTGTACGGCATCGAAACTCCTTGGTTTAAAGCATATCTAAAAGGTCACACACAAAGCGTTTCAATGACCGATGGACTCCAGCGCAGGGTTCTGTCACGACCACTCCCTAACACTATGGGCGTGTTTCAAGGCTCGGCCCTGGGTCCTCTTTTATTCACGATCTTCTCAAACGATTTGGCGCTTCACGCCGACGACGCATGCGTTTTCCAATATGCAGATGATACCCAGCTTCTAGTGAGTGGCCCAAAAAACAATGTAAGTGGCCTTATCTCGCGCATGGAGGCCTCACTAGAAGCACTGAACAAATGGTTCCACTCTAACGCCCTGAAGGTCAACGCGAGCAAAACGCAACTCATGATATTCGGCAGCCGTCAAAATCTAAAACACTTGCCCCCAGTCGTCGTATCGTTTCGTGACACGGAGCTGGAACCATGTGCGCAGGCAGGAAACCTCGGCGTGGTGTTTGACAGCTGTCTGACCTGGGAAGCCCATGTATCTGAGCTCAGCCGGAGGTGTATGGGTCTGCTCATCGGCCTCTCCCATGTGCGGCACTGTCTTCCCGATGGGGTCATCAAAACCATTGTCACATCTCTAGTCATCTCCCGAGTAAATTACTGCCTCTCAGTTTACGGAAATGGTACAAAAAAGAACCTGAATCGACTCCAAAAGATCTTGAACTTCGCTACTCGAGTTATTTTTGGCCGTCGCAAATTCGACCACGTCACTGACCTGCGCGAGAAACTCAACTGGATGCCGCCCGAATTTATGTACAAACTTCAAACCATGGCCACTGCACGTAAGGCGATACACTACGGCGAACCGGTAGCACTTGCCTCTATGTTTGCTAAAAACCGGGACTCCTCAACCAGGAATAGAAATACACGTCAGGACAACCTTCTCCAGCTCCAGCGTCCCAGACTAGAAACCGGTAAGCGGCGTTTCAGTTACCGTGCCGCCGAGCTCCTAAACGACCTACCTCCCGACCTCTCACAGCTGCCACCCTCTAAATTCGCACGCGCTGTCAAGTCTCTGTGGAAAAACGATAGACCTTCGTGATGGCCTGAATTAGGCACTCGTCTTGTATGTATATAAGTACCTACACGGTATGTTAGTAATCGTAGCATATAGTCTTCCTGTGTGTGCGTGTATGTGTGTGTGTGTGTGTTGTTGTTCGACTGGTCTCTGTTCCTGCATGCTTATACCCGACTCAGACTCTGGGCAGTAATCGCCACGCCATGTGTGGATCGCCCATGATCGTAAATACAATACAATACAATACAATACGATGGGCTGGTTTGCTCAGGACTTACACATGCTTGATGAAATGATACCTAGGTACCTAAAATCGTATTGATCCCGCACCGTATGCAATTGCTTCGCGTGCAAAGAGAGAAAAATATCAGATGTCGTGTAACTGATTTGTTAAACGTCTACATAGGCGGTGGAACGGGGAGGGCACCGGGGCACCGTGCCCCCCTTTGATTTTGGCATTTCAACATTAGCCCTATGGGCGTTGCATGGAAAGAATGGGACCAAAATCGGCAGTGCCCCCCCCCCTTAATTGAAGGTGTTCCGCCGCTACTGAACGTCTAGACGATTAACAAACTGTTAAACGTCTAGTAGATGTCTAGTGTGAAATATGTCGTATTTTGTATACGCCTGAAAGATATCGGTGGTACGGGATGAAATTATTAAACCACTTGTAGGTAGAAAAAATCTTTAAAACGTCTCGCCTATCGGCTCGACGTTTTGTTCTACCTACTCGCGGTTTAATACATAATTATATCATTCTCCCTTAGAAAATTATCTGGTGCGAAGCAAACGTCGGAAAACAATGAAATCATAGTACTTATGTTCAAAGCTTCTATGTAATATATATATTCGTAAGAAAACGTTAGATAATACTGCTGAATATTTATTGTTGATTACACCTAGTTCTGAACCACTGTTAAGGATCGAATACAAAGCCTCAAATGTCGAAAGAAGAATGGTGCTTTTATGATGATGAGACGCCTATGTATAGCAGCAAAGCACATAGGTATGTCTATTCATATCATGATCTAGAAAAATGCCCAATACCCGTACGCATTTACATAATAACAATTACAAATAAGCAAGTCCCTGGACAGAAAGTGAGGCTACTTTTTAAGCCTACCTGGAGATGCAGCGGCACCTTCTTCACAGGCGGGGGTCGGTCCGCCATGGTTTACACAGCCCACTCGACAGGAACACCTCCACGGTGGCGCGACCCGACCCGCCGCGCCGGGCGCTCGCGATCGACTGCGCGGCCAATGCACGGCCGGGCGCGGGTCGGTGCTCGTGGGCGGGTCGGCGGGCGGGCGGGAGGCTCTTAAGTCTCAGGCCCACGCCACCCCGGTGCGATACGGCGCTAAACGTGGGGACGGTCAATGGCATTTCGCCCTTCTAGAAAGTAGGAATTATGGTGCCCTTCACCAGACAAAAGACGTTTTATTACGAGAAGATCAACCCTTTTCCAAGTCTGAGTACGAGTTCCATCGCATCCAGTTGATACGAATTTGAATATCGTCCCGACTATGCTTTGGATATGGTGCTTTTTATATTTAAGCAGTCTGTCGTCAGTGAAATATGTTGTCACCTACTGAGCAGTGAGAATCATAAGTACGAAACGGCACTCCCCTGGGCCCTAACGGCGGGTTTAAATCCTATCTGAAGGCAATTAATTGTGTATATTTAGAATAGCTAATTAGTGATTGTCGTTGCCATTATAGTTATTTTGCGTGGATAGAAAGGGCATGTGAATTTCAGACCGACAAACGACCATAAAACAAAATAATGCGAGTGCGACCATTTGATAAGTACCTAGTAAATATAAAATATAAAATATAATTGGATAAAACGACGAAGGAAACGCCGTAATAACATAAAAAGCGCGCAACTCAGCGAAATCGCGCCCGTCGTTTTAAAAGATGCCTCGATTCGAAATCGATACATTCCAAAGCGATCTTTAGGTACACTGGCTGACAATCAGAAAGAATAAAGATCCCCGACCGCCATTGACTGAAAAAATATTCCGGATCGTGTCTGAACTTGAAGCCCAATATATCCCATTGACCTAAACTGTGTCTTGCGCAATGCACGTCATTTCCTTGTTTATTCCTTACACCGTTGCCTTCACGAAATGCATCTAAAAAAAAAACACAATTGTAACCGCGAAGCATCATGAAAATGACGAATATTTGGAGGAAAAAATAGACGAGCTTGTCTTAGTTATCGTCCGTCGTGCCTAAATGGTATACCTACGCTGTATACCTGCCTAGCGTCAGCGCATGCGAGATTTGAATAATTCCCAAAGTCTGCGGGAGTCGCCTGGCAAAACAAAAATGATACATTGTCCATTGACGCCCGTAATGCTGAAAGATTATTTATGCAGTAAGGACTCAGGAAATAACATCCCCTTAAAATTATTTAGCTCTCGCTCGCACCATGTTGCAGGCACGGAGGTGCATGCGAATGGGATCTAATTATATTTGAACTTAAAAAGGGCTCTCATGTGCGATTTCCTGACTGCCGAATAATTTGTTTCAGTCTTCAGGAAGCCTTCATTCCGTCTGAGATCACTTGCCAGTCTATGTAGGTAAAGACTCGAGGAGCCTAAAACGATCTCAGCCTCAGGACGCAATACTAGTCTGAAGGAGTCTCACACCGATCTGCATTTGATCTGAAAGAAGTTCAGAGATCAGACGACAGACCGGTCTCCAAACGGATCTAACATTGGGTCGGGGGGGGGGGAGGGGGGGGGCTGAGTCGATGGCAAGAAGTCGGGAGGGCTGTGCCACTAGGAACTTTGGGTGGAACTGGGGCTGGGAGGAGGGACTGGCGATTGAGACAAAAAGTTTAGAACAATTCACTATTCTGCTACCAGGATTGATCAGTAGCGGCGGAACACCTTCAATTAAGGGGGGGGGGGGGGCACTGCCGACTTTTGGTCCCATTCTTTCCATGCAACGCCCGTAGGGCTAATGTTAAAATGCCAAAATCAAAGGGGGGCAAGGTGCCCCGGTGCCCTCCCCGTTCCGCCGCCTATGGGATTGATAACCGATACGTCTGCCTGCTCGGATAACGAAAAGAAGCGAGCGGGGGCGGGCTAAACTGTTACAGAATTATATATTGTACCGGTAGGCAGACAACTGAACCACTGACAACTGAACCAGGGACAACTGAACCAGTAAAACTGAACCAGGGACAACTGAACCAGTGACAACTGAGCCAGTGACAACTGAACCAGCGACAACTGAACCAGTGACAACTGAACCAGCGACAACTGAACCAGTGACAACTGAACCAGTGACAACTGAACCAGTGACAACTGAACCAGGGACAACTGAACCAGTGACAAAAGAACCAGTGGACAACTGAACCAGTGGACAACTGAACCAGTGGACAACTGAACCAGTGGACAACTGAACCAGTGACAACTGAACCAGTGACAATTGAGCCAGTGACAACTGAACCAGTGACAACTGAACCAGTGACAACTGAACCAGTGACAACTGAACCAGTATGACAACTGAACCAGTGACAACTGAACCAGTGACAACTGAACCAGTGACAACTGAACCAGTGACAACTGAACCAGTGACAACTGAACCAGTGACAACTGAGCCAGTGGACAACTGAACCAGTATGGCAACTGAAACAGTGGACGACTGAACCAGCGGACAACTGAACCAGTGGACAACTGAACCAGTTCAGTTGTCCACTGGTTCAGTTGTCCACTGGTTCAGTTGTCACTGGTTCAGTTGTCTCTGGTTCAGTTGTCACTGGTTCAGTTGTCACTGGTTCAGTTGTCCCTGGTTCAGTTGTCACTGGTTCAGTTGTCACTGGTTCAGTTGTCACTGGTTCAGTTGTCACTGGTTCAGTTGTCCCTGGTTCAGCTGTCACTGGTTCAGTTGTCCCCAGGCACGTACCCAGGATTTCGCCCAGGAGGGGGCCACCTGCTTTCGAAGGGGCCCCCCACAGTGTATAGGGCCCCCCAGGTTCCCCGGGGGCCCCCGGGAGTCATGAAGAACCTTTTGATGGTGGGGGGGGGGGGGGCATAGTGGGTCCGGTCTCTCCTGCAGACGTAGGTGAGAAAACGCCACGTGTGTGGGAAAACGCAATTCAGTTCTTTACAACCTTATGTAGCATTTGGTTGTGATTTCTCGCGTTCAACTTCATCAAAGTCAATTAAAACGGTCTCTGTAACGGTCTAAGCCTTGAGAAAATGTGGAAAATTGGAAAGTAAAAATATCTTTGCTTGAGGAGTGTGCATGAAACGCACGGCGCACGGCATTTTATGAGCGAGCGCCTCAATTACTGAACATCCTCCAATGCCGGATATGTAGGTATATAATATAATAGTGGGGAATGGATGTCTCGTTATCGGAATTCCACTATCTGGCAACTAGCCCTATGTAAACGCGGCTATTATATGTTTCACTAGGAATCGAGCGCAATTGTACTTTTAGCCAGAAAATAAATGCTTGGGTAATTCTGGGACACTCTGTATTAATTGGAGGAATAGGACTTAGGAGGAAATGCGATTGCAAATCGACCCACATCCCTGTGTTAGCCAATGACGCCTTTGGGGCCAAGGTTGGGGGGTATTCAGTTTAGCCTTTTTGTTTTTCTGTGATATCTCCGGCACCGTGAAAGATATTGGCTCCTTCAGATGAGTGCCTACTTCAGTCACTACTTATATCCAGTAGCCAGTAGCCACTCAGATGATTTGGGATCAATCAGGTGATAAGCGTACTTTCAGACGACCAGGGGCCCCCAGTCGACCAGGGGTTCCCAGGCGACCAGGTCCTCCAGATGACTAGGGGCCCCACTGCCCCAGGCGACCAGGGCCCTCCAGGCGACCTAGGGCCAATGCGATCAGGTCCCCAAAGCGATCAGGGGCCCCCAGGCGACCAGGGGCCCCCAGGCGACCAGGGGCCCTCTAGGTGACCACCCAGCTAACAGGAAACGTTACTACAACGTTGTCACAACGTCGTGTTTCGGTAAGTTGCGAAATTACGTTTTAATTACGTTGTAGCAACGTTCTGAACGTTGTGAAGCCATGGTTTGGTCCGAAAGTCGTGGTAAAACGTCGTGGCAACGTTTTATTGGTACGTTGCAGCAACCGCGCACTTGCAGCATTCTATTTTGATAATGCATGGTGACATATATGGCCATATAATGCATTTCCTTTGACTTTCAATGCGCATATTAAGCTTTCATCGTTAAATTTGACATATTTTAACACTTGGACTGTTCACGTTGTCAGCTGGTGTTCGCCAACACGTTGTTAAAACGGTTTTTCACAACCTTGACATTATCAAGGTACTGAATAATTAGCGGTGTTTAAGCTCATTGCGGTGTTTTTACAAGTAAAAACGTAAATTAGCGGTGTTTTTACAAGTAAATTCTGATACCTTTCTCTCTCTATCTCTCTCTAATATATATATATATATATATATATATATATATATATATATATATATATATATATATATATATATATATATATATATATATATATATATATATATATAACATGTGCAAATTGCAAAGCGTCATCGGCATGTTTTGCAACATCACAGGCAGAGCTACAGGCTTGCAACTATCCCTATGTAAACGCGGCTGTTATCCGCGGCTGCCAGCAAGCCACGCGGGCAGCCACTCAGGCGAACGGTGGCTCGCGCCCTGACCTCGCCTGAGGGGCCGTGACGTCAGTGTCACCGGCCGGCGTTCAGAGCCAGCCGGCCGAGCCGCAGTCTACGCGGCGCGAGCGAGCAGTGAGGGCCGGCGGCGGGCGCGGCTGAGATAGCTGGAAGATGAAAGATAGCGCCAGTTGTCTGCGTTTGATGCGATTGTTGTTTTGACTGGTAAGTCAAAGTACCATTTACGAGTAGCATTTGCAAGATTGTGCCTTGTAATATCGTGCGGTCTAGGCTACAGTTCATTGTAGCTCTAGCCTCTAAGGTGTTGACATGTTTGATCTAGCCTGTCGCACTGTTACGGAAAGTGGTGCAGGTATTTTTGTGATTTTTTCATGAATTGAATGTCTGATTTTCCCTCATGTCTTCCCGCAGACGTCCTGCAACTCGTCAGCGCGCCTTGCGGCAGGCCTACTGTCGGCAATGCGGTAGCGAAGTGGCTGTCCGGAAGCTGCGACCGGAACGGGGGGTGCGCAGACCGTCTAGTCAGGCACTGCCAGCTGCCTAGGGACATCGAGGCCGCAAATGAGCCGGTGCCTAACGGTCCGCCGAGTGATCCTC